AACTGTCGATGACCCTCGGGATACAAAACCATCGGATGATTATGGTATCCCTTCCGGTCATCCAGAGGAAAACATACACTCCAAGAATCTTTCGTACTAGCCACTTTTTTCAATTTAATCTCAAACAGGCATTCGGTAAATTTAGTTTTCGACTTTTTCAGGACAATATTAATAAGATTGACTATTTTATTACCTCGATAACGTTCCCCTCGGTTACACTTCAGAATCCTCAATGTTCCTCCCTTTGAGTGCTTTGAAATAATGAGTGCAAAATTACAGATAGTTTCCATACCGACTGCATAGTTAACAGCTTTTTCAAGACCGCCAGAGAGTTCCGGCGTGTTCCACGTCGTCGAAATGTCCTCCGGCGAGGCCGAACAAAGAAGAGCTGACTCCGTGAACGATGGAGGAATGCCGATGGGGGCGGCGGGAACTCGCAGCGACCGACGACACCAACTCGGGAATCTGACAGAGGACGGCGAACGGGTGGACGCAAGATGATAGAAGGCTAAGGCTGAATGCACACACTAGGCGGCGGTGGCGGCGACGGAAACAGGCGGCGGCGACGGCGGCGGGCGTGCTGCCGGATTTTGACATTTATGGGGTGTGAGGTTTGTTCTTTTGAGAATTAGACTAAGTTGAGGACTTAGTTGTAATTTTAAGATTTTCAGTTATATTTTAATTAAGCCCACATGCCAAATCTTTAATTATTGAAAAAAAAATTGTACGTGATTTATTACCTTAATTAATCAGCTGCAATTACCTAAACTGTATCTTAAAAATATACCATAAAATATTTAAATAGTTTCCAGATTTAGTAAACAATATTTTTTTGTCGGAAAATAGTTACTATTTAAAAAATAATCAAACATTTTTATATAGACATAGAATAGATATATATATATATATATATAATTAATCTATATCTATATCTACATCTATATCTATATCTATATCTATATCTATATTCTATATCAATATAAAGAGGTTGTTGAAAAATTATTTTTATAGTAAGTTTTGCTAAAAAAATAAATGGTTTGACATACTAATAGTGAAAATTTTGGAAAAAAAAAACACATGTAAATCTTTTAGAATCAAATTTAATTGAGATATCCCAAAAAAATAGAGAGTTTTATGGTAACAAATTTGGAGATTCTTATACCAAAATATAATTCATTTCTTAAATATTAATCCCATAGGAATCTACTTTTATTGGTAACAAATTTGGAGATTTTTATGTCAGAAATTGAAATTTTGAATTTGATATCTCAACAATTACGGATTTTTTTTTTCCATTTAAATTAATGTTGTAAATCAAGCAAAAAATTGTTCCGAGAATAATGGATGCTATAATAAATATTGATAAACATCAATCCTACATTTTTTTTTTTTTTTT